ACAACAACAATCATCATCATCATCAATGCTTAGAGCTGGTCCCGTGGCGCAAAGTGTTGCGACAACCGTCGTCTGGGTCAGGGAGGCAATAGGTTCGAGTCCTGCGTAGGCATGGTTGAATTTGTGATTGTCCCTTCACTCCTCATTATCCTATCACATCGTAATTCAGAATTCCAGGTGTCACAATCTTGTCTTACTAAGGGATACAGACTAAAAGCTGAGCCCCATAGTTTCACACATTAATCGTGTAGCATTGTCAGAAATGAGGCTCTGACTTTCGTAGGCCAGGTGTATTAGACAGTCTACTGTTAGTCAGCAGGGAGCGTATTAGAAGGAGGGGGGAGTTGACGGGGATTTATGTCCCCTGTTCGAAAATAATGATTTATCTATACCAGAGACTCGTTCAATTCAGTTATAGATGCCTCAATCATTATTGATTTTTGAAATGTGCACGTCTAGGAATCCAAATCAAAGAGATTGGAAAAACTTTTCTATCAGTATTCTTAATTATTTTAGACAGCTGTCTAAGCGAAGGTTTTGTTGCAGTTTTCGATTTATTAATTGCAGACTTCTCTAGGGCGCAGGTTTCGTACTAGCTCTAATTGTGCACTTGTTTCTCTTGTTTATTTTATTTTTGATAATCTCTTCCTGAAAAAAAAACACTCCCTTTGTCAGCAACTGAAGCTTTGTTAATTGAGAGGTTCGGATCCCGACAGTGGCGGATTTTCGAGTTGAGTACGAGAATATGAAAAAAGACGACCACTGCCAGAATTTTATAAAGTGTTTGTCATTGGGGGAAAAAATGTCTATTGTTACATTTTTGTAAGAGTATGAACAAGCCTATGACTTACACTAATATGATAATACAAACGCATACATATTAAAATGATAATTTAAAGAGTTTCAGCCATACCCCGACCTTGTCGATGCCTGTTAGTTTTCCACTTGGAAGTCATGGAAATGATTTCAAAATGATTTTCAGAATATGTTAAAATTTATTAGAAAAAATTGAAAAAAGTTTCGTATTATACTTATATCAAAGCGGATCTCGTGATGGGTCCAAATGAAGAGTACTCTAGTATTTAACAACTTTTAGTAAATTTATCTATTTTACGCCTAAATATCGTTCACGGAAAGTTACATCTTCATACGGAAACGATTAATATGTTAGACTGATTATTTTGCCATAAGTTTCCAGTCATTAATTGAGTCATGCTATATTTTTTCTACAATTCAAAAATATTTTCCCTTTTATTTATTTATTTATTTATTTTTTTAAAGGAACTCAAAATCAGTATTTCTAGCCTTCAAAGTTAGATTGCCACTAGCTTTAAGATAGTGAGTTCACGTGGTATCCTCCGTTCATTTGTTAAACGCAACAGCTATGCGCTCTCGCTTGACATGACACGACTACTTGTTCGCACTCACCTCGCGTCCCTGCCTGACGTGTCTCACCGGACGCCAACAACTGCGAAATACGGAGCACATGTGGACGCGAAAAGGTGTGGAGCCGCGGCGAGCTGATGTCACATACGGCGTCACGAGCCGAAATAAAGACGCGGCATTCATGTCAGGGACGCAAAAGTATGCGAAACGTAGAGCGGCTAAAAAGATCTCATCGCGACGGGATAGTTGTATATGTTGTTCAACTTTCATACCTTCTTATCAGCATGTGATCAAAACACTCAGGCAGTGAATCTCATGCATTTTGTATTATAAAATAAAGGTGTGACAGGAATTGGAATTTCAATGACCTTAAATTCTTATCTGCAAGTAAAAAATGCGCTTACAATCTAAATGTGAAATTATTTACACTGATAGAATTTTCTTATATTTAATATTATTGTGTGAGCAAAGTTCTTTTTATACATGGCGGTACTCTTCAGATGAAGTTGGAGTAATCATCACTAGCCCTCTCTAGCGAGTGGATATCAAATTACAGTTATTGAATGGACGTGCTAATCGGCAGGGAAACCAATATACAAATAATTAAATTTTCCTTTTCAACTGTTCTCATGCACGTGCCTTATTTAAATATTTCTTGTAATGATTTTTAAACAATGACTTAATATGTTTCAATTTAATTTATTTTTTTTCAAATAGTAGCCTTTAACGAAATTTATCTTCGATTCATTTAATCACAGGGATTACAACAAGTTGGTAAGACGGTGAATCGCCATTTTGTTACAACGCGTTGGATGGTGGGTGAATTGTGAGTTCATGGGTAATTTCCCAAGATTCTTTATAAAAGATCGTATGGTTTATGATTGTGAAGCCAGGTTTCGCGTAAAATGCGCTTTCTTATGTCTTTAGATCATATCCAATTGTTTTAGAAGTGTTTTTCAGATGTAATGAGTGATATCGCCCAACTCACGCTGTTGTCTCTGTTGGGCTATGTTCCTTTGTACAGAATTGAATTCTTAGAATTGTGTTGATATTTAGCGTATTTTAACAACGATCGATAGCCCTTATTATTTATTTAATATTGTGCAGATTAATCATCTTAACAATTTCGAGAAAACTAAAAATGTTTTTTTTACCAATCTTAACCCACGCATTGCGCAATTTACTTATAACCTTCTCATGTGATATGAAGTATTGACATTTTAAAATAATATATTGAGATGTTATTTTAAAAAATGTTGGAGATGAACGAAAGCGCATTTCTGCGAGGCTTCGAGTCAACGTAATGTGCATGATTATGCCTTTCTGTATCCTCTGTCTCTCCGTAGTATCATGTGAAACATGATGCATTCCTTAATAAGTCATTATCTCCACATTAAATATTGAATTCCTTCTTCCACAGTCATGGTTTGGAAACAATTTTGTTAAATATGTTTGTTGCATCAGAAGTAGGTTTAAATTTGTCTACTATTTGGGGGTGCTGTATGATAAGCTGTCAATGTTGAAATTTGAGAGCCAAGCATAAAGAAGTAATTTGGAAATTCCTAAAATTATTTCTTTATGAAGATAATTATTTTGTTATATAAGTATTTTTCTGGTATACATATTCAATTCTGGATATCTACTTGGAAGGTTTGGGGCAAGATTAAAAAGTTATTGGACATTGCCATTTAATTTATAACATTAAAGTGGTATTTTAAAGTAAATTCCAGATGAGATTTTTGTTTATTATATTATCAAATTAAAAAATTATATTGCGTCTTCTGATTCCAAGAAATATCTCTACATTGTTTACAGAAATACATTTCATGAGTTGTGAAAACGTCAAGTCGCAGAAAATTTGAAAATTATATGATAATTAAATTTTTAAAGAAATTCAGTATTAATAGTAATTTAAAAAGTGTTCATTTTCTCTTCTGTGTGAATAAAAACAAATTCTAGTAACATATAACACAGTTTAAAGATTGTTAATACCATTCATAATACATTTGTTTAGAAAAATAATTTTTATTAAAAGAAAAAAATTTAAAATTGCTAGTTTGAATTACAATACTGGATGTAATGACCAATTACAACTATGTTAAGATGTTTTGAAAATGGAAAATTCTGAATTTATTTTGACACTTTCGTACATGTAATATGAAGATCAATTAAATTTCTCTTACACTGAATGAGTTTTAATGAAATACATAAATGTACACACACATTATGCCTTGCTTTTTGTTCCACTTCATTTGATTCTGGTTACCACCTTTAACTGTAAATCATCACCTGACAAAGTTCAGAATTAATTGATCTTGAAAATGTGTAACAAGTCCTCATTTCGTAAAACAAAATTCAGTAGATTACTATAATGGATTCATTCGAGGCAAAATATTGGAAGGATATAAAAATCTTTTTCATCATGAGCATCAGTCAGAAATATGTCTGTGAGAAAAAGAAAAATGATAGCAGGATAGACAGTAAGACCTTTATAGTAAAATTTGTCTTGAAAATCATAAAACAATTAATGTAGGAATATTTCGTTCTTTCCAGCGGGATGTAATAACTGATACCTTTGATCATTTTGACCATATTAAAATGACTAGGAATTTGTAGATTCTGGAGTTATAACACTCTTAATTTGCACTCTATGAAGTGAATTTAATGTGTTTGGTAATACATATAAATAATTATTCCTTCCTTCGTTTCAATGAAGTTGCAATGAAAGAAATAGCTGTTATATGAACTACCAAATAAATGAAATACTCAATTTTTATTTATAACAGTAAAGCTTAATTAAAGTCTCTGATTGCATATATAAAGCATTGAAATGCAAAAATTGATGATTTTTATTATTTCACATAAATCTCAATAGTAAGTGCCTTATATTTATTGTGGATTTGATCAATAATTGTGTTCTGTATTTTAGTGAGTTTTTGCTATGAAAAAATACTTTGAAAAAAATAACAGGTTTAAAGAGATAATGACAAAAATTATACACTCATAAGACAATTTTAAGCATATTTTGTCTATTTAACTCCTTAGATATTTGAATGGCTGGGTCGCATTAAGCAGACCAAACTTGATGTGAAAAAATTATTTTTATACAAACATTCCAGAAATATCTAAATTGTTAATTATTTACCAAAGAAATGCAATATATTTGTTCACAAACAAATTAAAAAGGAGTTGAATCTTGCAAATTTATTTTTCTTAGTTTTTCCAAAATTTGCTGGTTGCTTTGCCTCAACTCGAAGCTGCAATTTTGAAAAACATCATTCATTAGCTTTTGAGTGTACTTTACATGCAGCCCCAGAGATCTTTTTATAATTTTCTTAAGAAAGGCTCCAAATGTTTTTTTTCAATTTCTTGAAAGAAGAGTGTACTACACTTATAAAGGTGGCATAGGTCCAATTTACACTGTTAACTCTGAATATTAGAAAATTGCAAAAGTTTAAAAATTTTTTAAAAATCTTCTTACAACTACAAAATTAAAGATAGAGATTTTCTCTTCAAATGAAATTTGTTGTCCATAATTTGTTCTTGCATTAAGGTCATGTACATTCTTTTGAAACTTTTAGTTCTTTTTGTGCAATATGTGCAAATGGCTCCAACTTTTTTCTTTAAACTTTTGATATAGGTAATGCTAAATGCACACAATAAGATGACATGAACGTCATATTGCTCTATTATGTTTTTTTTGAAAATTACACTGTTGTAATTTTTTTTATCTCTCTTTCACCTCATTAATATCTACATTAACTGTGATTTGTATACAGTATTGCATTGATGAGTATACATGTTTCAAATAATGTCTTACAAAGCTTCTCAAAAACCCAAAGGTTTTTTGTAAAAATGAGCTCAAAATCATTCATTTTCAGAAGCGCTAAAACACAATTTTCTCAAAAATGGCTCCAATTTTTTCACATTTTTTAGTGGATAAATGCTCTGTATAAGATGACATAGAAGCTATTTTGCTGTATTTTTCTTTCAAAAATTATGCATATGTAATTTTTTTATATATCTCACGCTGGTAACATAGAAATTTGTATAAATTATTGGATTTGTGAATAGAAGTGCTTGAAAGGATTTTGAATGAAGTTTCTTGAAAACTCGAAAGTTTTCTGTGAAAAATTTTCTCATTTACAATAATGCTTAAGTGACATTTTCTTAAAAAGGGCTCCAAAGTTTTGAAAATTACCACATCACACACAAATGAAAACTTACATGTAGGACAAGATTGTACCCTTTTATGAGATACTTAAAAGTCATGTTTGAGTATGAAAAGTTGAGGATAAGTGAACAAATGTAGTTTGGGTAGTGATAGATGGCAGCTGGGAAGAGGAAGGGGCAAGGCCAAAAAGCTAGCCCAGACCAAAGAAATTAGATATCCAACTTTAGTGAAAAAGTCCATCCAGTCTGTTACACCACTAGTTTTTAATTATTTATTGATTTATTTTTTAATTAATGGGAACATTAAAAAGAAAAAAAATTGAATGAATGAAACTAATTCTTTAAACAAATTTTGTTTTTACAGTTTATTTGAAGTTTTAATAAATTATAGATCTATTTAATATGGCATTGATCACTTTTCAAGAAATTCACTTAAAACTCCTATTGGGGGAATTTTTAGTTAATATTTTTAAGATGCAAATCAATCAAATTTGTTGCATTAAATGTACAGATAATAATGGGCAGATCACAATTATAGTTCGTTTTGAGACAAACATTTTTCCTGTTTTTTTCACGTTCATTTATACTCCAGACAAGTTTTCAAAGGTGAAACTTGAGGGTTTTACCAAATCCTGATTCATTTGATATTTCAACATATGATAGGTATATGACAGGAGTTTACCGCCTTACTTGTAACTGAAAATGCAAGGACTGTTGGGATCTGCTGTTATTACCTGAGTGCCTTAATTATTGTCCTTCTCTTGGCCTGATTCAGATTGATCTGAATAGTATTACCAACATGTTACATTAACAAAATGCATATGTGCTGTGCTGAGGTGGCTTTTTGTCCTGATTAACATGAGAATGTTTGTAATTAGTAGATGTGTTTTCTGGAATTACAGCTCATGAAACCAAAGCAATTAGGAAAGTGAGACTGATTCATAAACGTTAGAAGAAGAAAAAATTAAACATTTTGTGCATTAATGTTATTTTCAATCTTTAAATGTGTGCTTTTTTTGTACCAAGAAGAAGAAATAAAGTAATCCATAAATTAATCCATTACCATTTTCCCCATGAGATGGGTGGGGGCCCCTGATTTGCTGGGGTAGGGGGAAGTCTTAATTTATTACTTAAAAAAAAATTGTTTAAATTTGTTCATTGAATCATCATGAAATGATTAAATTATTTCAGTTAAAACACAATTATAAATTAACACAAAAACTTATGGGAGGATGATCTCTCTGTTCTTCGATTTATCATTGTTTGAATATCCTTTTAAATTCAGATGCCAAGTTAATTTCACTCTTATCATGTCAATTTATTTGATTTGCCCATAAAGTAAGAATAAATAAAACATTTCTAATGGCCTCATTTTGAAACTGTTTGATTTTTATGTATAATGTTGGGCTCTCTTAACTGACTACTGTCTCCGCTTGCAGTTAAGGGATGTCTGATGCTGAGGCTGAAGTGATTACTGTGGGCAGTGACGATACTTTGCTTCTTAAAGCAGATTCAGGTGTGTATGTATTCCCTGTAATACTTTCAGTAAAAACATTTATTTGTAACATTTGTATATTAAGAGATATTAGTTATATTAAGATTCTTATCTACCATTCAAAGTATTTAACAAAATTAAAACCAACAGGTTCATGAATTTTCTCAGATATTAATTTAATTCGTAAAAATGATATATAAAGAAAATCATGGACACGAATACTTGTGCTGGCGCTAGGCATAACCTGTCTGTGTGATTGAGTGCGAGAGGCATGAAAAAACTCGGCCATTATTACATGTGTTTTGCAAGTAATTTGAGTCATGAGTGTGCTAGTCATGATTTTGAAATATTTTTATTTAAAAACTGTTTGTTAACATTGCATTTTATGTGATTTCTTTAAAAAATTGTTATTGCTCTTTCAAATGGTAAAGATTACATAAATTTAATAAATAATGGATCTAACACCATTTACCTGCATAAAGTCTATTCAGAGATGAAAATTATTATGTTAATATAAAAACCTATCATCATCATCAAATTATCTCAAATAAATGCTTCTCTCGAGTATATGCACTTATCAGTTGTTTGGATGACAATTTGTATGTAATTTGGATGACAATTTATATTTGTATTGGTATGTACTACATGTGTTTTATATTGCAATAATGCTGTTACACACACACACACACACACATGCATGTACACATGTGTGCACATGCACACAGACAGATACAGAGAAGTTATTCTAAGAAAGGACCACTCTGACAGGTCGGGAAACAAATGAACATTATGCAGGGCAATGACATTGCCAGGAATAGTGATGAAGCCATTGACAAATGAGATGTCTAAACGATTGCACTGACAAAATGAGTGCATGCACACAACTTGCAGTTATGTTGCCAGCCGTGATCAAGCAGTGGCTGTGAAAGCAGTTCCCATAGTAATCTCTCTATACACCATGTGCATCTTTTTCTCAGAGGCCGGGTCGTCCCAAGTGCAAGATGGAGTGGAAGTTCTGCAGTGCATGGCCATCATTGAGGGGTCGGATTCTGTGGAGGGAGATATTACAGTTAAGATAGAACCAGATGCAGAATCAGGAGAGTTATATTTGGCACATCCTGAAAACTTGGACTTGTCATCATTCACTGCTATCACATTAGCAGATGGCACACCAGCTTTTTTAGCTCAGGATATTATGGTTGAGGAAGGTGAAGGTGTGTTTTTTTTTAAAAATTGTTTGTTTAGAATTGTTAGAAGTTTTCTAAAGAATAAACATGAATTGGTAACATAGAAAATGAAAATAAAAGGAGCTGTAACTTTCTCATGGATGTAGAATAGAGAAAATATGGTTACCCTTGAAAATTCTACTACTAAATAATTATCTGCCTCCTTGGGAATTTTATTCTGTAAACTTGGTATCTAAAATTTCATTTTACATAAGTAATTTAAATGCTCATTTAACTTTTAAGAGCATATTTTTATTACTGTCATTGTTTTTGCCTTAAAGCCTTTTTTATTTTTTTTTATTTTATTTTGTTTATTTTTATTTATATTTTTTTTTAATTTATACTTTGCGTGTATGTATTTAGTGGTGAATACAGAACATGGTATTATGAGGTGAATTGCTTATTGATATTTGATTTTGAATTTTCTAAATTTGTTTTGGAAATAATTGTAATTCAATTTGCATTATGAGTACATTTTGTTGCAGTGTGTACCAGAAAAATGTAGTTGTCAAACATTGATTTTCTTCTCTCTCTCCCATTTTCATTGAACAATGCTAACAAAAACCAAAGTACTTTACCCATTCTTCTTCCTCAATAAACAAAAGAAGTGGATTTAAGGAATGCCTCTTCTTTGTTCTTGTCTTGTTTGGCACTTCTTCACTTCTAAAGACAATATTACTTCTTAATTTTGTTGAATTATGTAAAATAAAAATTATCATTTACATACTTTTACTGAGTCAATGGTGCTTGATAAGTGGTTTGAAGCTTTAATTTTGAGCTTTTAAGAACTCTGTTAATTGTGTCAATGATCCAAGAGGGGGTTGAGTGTAGGTTTGTGCACTGTTCACACAAACTGCATTTGTTTCTGTGATTCTCAAATTCATTCACAGACTTTTAAACCAGTGAATAGTGAATTATTATTTCTCCAACAGCATTTTTCTTAGTGCTGCTATTATTTGCATCTTATTCATTTTTTCTCTATAGTAGTCATGTTGACCATTCCAATTGTCTCATCAAATCATGTCATCATTTGAATTTTCATTCATTTTTTGTGTACGTGCATGCTGTTGTTGCTACCACTATTGCTGTCATCATATACATTAATACTAAACATTTGTCAAAAATGTAGAGTTATTTAATGATTAACTGTTTGAGTGTATAAGGGAGCAAATAATTTATTGGCAAAAAAATAATCTTCCTGATGTGTTGTGTGTGTGTTTTTGTTTTTTTTTTATAAATAAATTTACGTTGGAGTTCAATTTATATGAATTATCCTGGTTCCGTTCCAGTACATCAATGTTAAGTAAGCTCTTATAAATTGTACCACAAACTGCCACTGCAATATAGAAAAAGATATTTTGAAAGTAAATTAGTTCATTGTTTTTAAAACTTGTTCTCGAAATAGCATGTGAGAGAAGGCAATAAATTATTTATTTCAAATATATGAACTATTTGCCCACGAATTTACAAACGGTATAATTACAATTATATAATTACAAAATCAATATTGGTAATGTTATTCAAATGGAAGTAATATATCTCTTGATTTTTAAAATAAAAAAAAACCCACATAAAAACAACCCAAATTGAATTAATGTTACTACAGAGTACATTATTACCCTTGCTGGCAAAATTACACAATCTGTTCAAAGGGATGTTTGCAGTATAACATAATTTGTTGTACATCAAAGGTTTCATTACTACTAGAGTTAAATCTGTATATTTTAAAATTTATTTGATTATGTTTATTTATAGATGTGGTTGAAGCGGAAACAGTTCAACTTGAGAACGGGCGCACAGTATATCTTCAAGAAATACCAAAGTTTGTTGATGGACAGGCGGTGCAGTTGGAAGATGGAACCACAGCTTACTTGCAGAAAGGTACCTTTAAATAAACCTTTTAATTTTCATCTTTTTATGTATGGATTTATAAAAATGATAAATTACAGGGAATTAATTCTGAAATTGTAATTCTGCCTGTCTCTTGCAATTGGGTTTACTGTGGAGTAATATATCTTGCTGTAGTATTCAAGCAGAGATGTGTAATTCAAGCCTTTGGAATGTGATATGTAGTCTTTTGTTTAACCTTTCAATGCAGGATGCCGTCTTGAGACAACATGTTCCTTTCACCTCTATTCACGGGTCTTCATACATAGACATCATGGGATTTTCCCTTCTGCAGCAGGATACCATGTGGCTATGGCAACTCTCTGCTCTTGCTGTGGTGCACACAGCCCTTTTCCCTTCACCCACATTGGAATGCTACCATGCCCTATCTAGGCTCTGTGTTAAAGGGTTAATGCAACCAACTTATAAATGAAGATTCTGGTTGACCTGTGCATCATTGGAGCACCTTGTGTTGGCTTCAAAGGATTTTAGGACTGAACAATTTTTAACTTTGTGATGAATATTGCTTGCAGAGAGTTACCAGCCTGTTGAGTTAGAAGATGGGACAACTGCATATATTGCTCTTGCATGTGATGTGTTGGACCCAGTGTCTTTGGAAACAATACCTGATACATCTGAAGACTCTGAAGACTTTCAACAAGTGTGTGTACAGACTGTGGATTCTCCTGAAGGATCAGCACACGTGAAAAAAAATGTGACCATTGAAACTGGACGAGCCAGTGGTAGTGGCAATAGTGAAGGAATTGCAAAGGATAGATCAAGGGCTTACGTGTGTCGTCAGGATGGTTGTAATAAATTTTACACTACTCTCCATCATCTTAAGGTAGGTAGCACATGCATGAGGACAAAATATACTTTTCAGGTTAATTTTTTGTCTGCAGAGAAAGGGTTCAATTTTGGTAGTTGCTGACACTGTGATCAAAATACATGACATCTCAATTTCATATAAAACTGTTCTGTCCAAGAAGGAAATTAATTTTTTTTTAAAACTATGATTCAGAGTTTTTCTGGTAATTATCTCATAAAACTTTCAGATTATTTGTGATGTTGATCTTCACAAGTAATAAATGATTTTCTGGAGACCTTCCTTGTTCTATTTTCCATCCTGGCCACTATTTATGACTGTGTTCTTCATAGTTCTCGTAAATGATTGTCTTTATATTATACAAATCATATGGTGAGGCATCCTTTCAATTTTTTAGCAAATGAAAAACAATCAAACATTGTTGGAAAAAATCAATCATTTGAAATGCAAAATGATTATATGTTAAAACAGTGTTTTGTGAACTGGACGTCTTCAGGCTGAATGTTAATAAAATGTTTCAACTATGTAAAACAGAACAAAAATCGTACATCATTATTTTAGTGTAAAAACAATCAAATCCTTTTCAAAGTTCCTCAATTAAAAGACACTTAAATATAAGTTCAAGGCAAAAGGACAGAGCAACTCACCTGTTAATTGATGAAAAATTAGCACCAAATTTGTATATAGAGCGTATTTATGTCCACTTATAATAATAATAATGTCACATATAGAATAACAAAGAAAACATGTTAAAAAGTCCTGTTGTGCTAGGTGCATTTTGTAGATCTTGAGCATGGAGAGCCAGCCGGGAGAAGATCGTTGATTGTTATTCTTTATAATTGCATATTTTGTAATAATGTAACTATTATAAAGAATGACAGTCAATTGTCTTCTAACGTTGACATTGATCTATCCAGTCATGACAGTAACTTTGAACAACCCTGCAGAATTGTTCTACCATATCTTCTTAATATTATTAAAAATATCATCAAAGAATGTATTAGACATAAACTTAATATTAAAATTATTAATAAGAGTAATAACAAAAAGAATTCAATTAAAATTGTTAAAGACTTGATTCTTTTCCTTAAGACTGAAAATATAGCTATTTGGAGATTATGAAGTGCAGATTACAACAAAGGGTGAAAGAGCACAATAACAACATAAAAGATATAGGTTCTCATCTGAATTTGATTTCCTGACATCAAGTACATACATCCCATAATTTTAATTTCCTAGAACCTACAACCCTTAATAGGGAGCCCAGGAGATATGCCTGCCTCATTTGAGAATCCATACAAATTAAAACTTGTGATACTATTAATATGAATTTAGGATCAAATTTATTCACATCAGTGTATGACAATGTTTTATTTTAAATCAAAAAATAATTGAAAACCTGAACCAACTAAAAATTAATTGAATCTTCCTTTATATCTTTGTTTTTATTGAATTTCATGTACTTAAGCCCTTGACCTCTCCACTCCAACTTCCTGCCTTCCCTCATTTAATCTGAAGATATGAACAAATGTTTTAACATACACTAATTTTGCAATTCAACTCTGTGTATAAAGACTGATTTTTTTCCTACAAGTTTTGATTGTTTTTAAATTGATTGTCTAAAAATTGAAAGTATACTTCAACATACAATGTGTTCTACCTAGTTATTTAGCACCAGAAAGATTGTAATGTTCTACTGCCTTTAATGATTGAAACTAGTAATAATGTATCTTTTGCAGATTTATGGAATTCAATATTTAATGAATTAAGGATGTAAATAATTTCAAAAAGACAGAAACATTTCCAATTTCAAAAATTAAATTTTAGAAAAGTGTAGAAGGAATACAGTTTGAGTAACATCCAAACAGTAATTTCTTTCAAATTTATCATTTCTTTCAAGCCAACATATATACTTTTATTTATTTAAATGCACATGCCATATAATGTGTTTGTCAAACTTGAGACTTTCAGTTATAGTCACTTTACACGTAGAGGTCAGGAAAAACCTCTTTAAATCTAAAAAATCTCATTAAAGGTATTTGAAGTTGGACCTGCGACTTCATTGAATAAACTGCTTTTACATAGTTTGCCACTGTGAGATATCCTCAGTTCTCAATCAAAATACCACAGATTAACGTATCCACAGCAGTCAAAGAATGCTTGAGAAGGATCAACAACAAAAATTCAATTCAAAGCAAATAATTCGTAAACAGTAAAACCTCTCTTTTACACTTTTCATGGAACCCTTGGAGAAATGATGTAAATTGTGGCAAGTATAAATAAGGGGAAATAATTTTCTTCGAAACCATAAGTATAATATAATGTCACATTTAGTCACATAGAATCAATAAGGATTATATTATACTTTAATACACAGTATGAGATATGTAATAAACAGTATTACAAAGTGAAATAGAAATCTGACTGAAATTGACATCGGAAATTGAAGGCGTGTTAACCGAAGTAAAATGAATTTTAAATGTTGCAACCATTGAGCTACGACGATTCGACGAATCCCCGCCATCTACTGATGGAAGCCTTTGATGATGTAAAATGTACTCGTTGATGGATGAAGAGAGTGAAATGATATTTCTACTGTAAGAAAAAATGTGAAGTTAACGTTTTTACCAATTCAATAAAATGTTTGATTTTCATTTAGTAATTTTTAAAATTTATTTATTTATGAAGTAATAGAAAGAGGGTTCATGAAACCAATTTACAGTTAACAGAGAATTCCATACTTCGATGTTTGAGCTATTAAAGGAAGGGGGAAAATATTACTTTTATTTTAGAAGGAAGTGTGAAATTGTGAAGGAAGATGATGTAAAACTAACACGTGATTGTGAGGCTACCTCTCTTAGTCCCATGTCACATGAATGTTGCATTGATGCGTGTCACCTAATGTTGATGAATTCGACTGCATTGATGTCTGTGCACACATTACCTAACGTGCTTCGTAGATTGACACTATCTTATGCGAAATGGCACACAGTGCTCTGAGCAATGTGCATTGTGCCCACAGCTGAAGCTACAACATAAGTCACAACACATGAAATGAATTTTCGGAAGAGCGTAATATTCAAAATTGAAAAACACAAGATTCCCCATTTCCCTGATTCAGAAAAGATGACTACTGCTTCTATACTCAGATGTAAATATAACTGCACTTGATGTAAATCTGCTGGTATGGTGTCATCCAATTGGCAGTGTGAACATGACTATATTGTCATGTAAGCTCCCGATTGGATGACACCGTAACAGCTTATTTACATCAAGTGCAGCTCTAAATAAATCGAAATATATCGGCTGTATTTATGGTGAACTAGTTCTTGTCTTCATGAAATCAAAGTATCTTTTCACCTTGAGTCCAATGACGTATAGTATCGGTATGTTATCCAATGCACGGTCCATGCATACAATGGACTTAACTTTAAAGCAAATGTTATGAAATATTTGTTCCAGAAAATCTGGGTGCAACTGCAGATTCAAAAGGAATGAAAACATTATTTGAAAAAATTTTAATCCAAACATTTTAACTACGTAATACTGAAATACTTCTGAGTAAGGAGTTCATAAAAGTGAAATAGCTTTACATTATAACATAGGACATTTAAAAAGGGATTTCAAATACGTATAACTGAGATGTAGGTATTACTGAAGTCTGTTATACCTGGATTTCACTGTACAACAGAATTACTAGTACAGAACAAGTAACCTCTTTGCTTGTATGAAAGTTAAGTATTTCCATCATCTCCGCAGAAATATCTTGAGTTCTTGCATACCATAACCAGTCAACACTACTTGCCTACACATTTGTATTAGAAAACTTCTGTTCTTATTTTTGTGAACATTCATGTGGTAGGTGGGTAGGTGATGTGAAAGGGGGAGAGTGGGAATGCCGCCATGCTTCTCTAAGGGCATAGCACGTTCTCTACTTTAACCAAATTTTTAATTTTTGAGAATATCTTTTGCATGAGACTTGTGGCTGAATTTGTGATTTAGTTCTAATAAATGGTTTTTGTAGTTTTAACATTCAGTCTGCCTGTAATTCACTTGCATTTTCCCCACTAACCAGTGAAATAATTTTTGTGAAAGAAAAAATTAAGATAATAAAAATAAGGGTAATATATTTGACAATAGTTTCTTATTATTTCATTAAGAAAATTGCCTTCAAATTTACTGTCCAATTACTACATCTGTCACAGCATCTGCCGTTAAGGTAATAATAATGTAACCCAACACATCAAAATTCCTGGACAAGTTCTAATGAAATTGTTGTTTGTTATTCAGGTTCATGAAAGGTCTCATACTGGAGACAGACCATTCCGTTGTCCAGAATCTGGCTGTGGAAAGGCTTTTGCCACAGGTTATGGCCGGAAAGCACATGTTCGCACACACACAGGTGAAAAACCCTATAAATGTCCTGAGGAGACTTGTAATAAAGGCTTTAAGACTTCTGGAGATCTTCAAAAACATGTACGCACACACACAGGTATGCATCTTCATGTATCAGTATTTAGTATTCAAATGAAATCTTTGAAAACAATGGTTGGGGAGAGTTTTCATGATGAAAGTTGCTGTGTAATTTATAAATAGAGCTTGGAAGTTTGGTGAAATGCCTTTTTATTATTGTTACGATTTTATGACTTAACAATATGAATCACTTAATTGTACTTCAGGAGTTGTTTTATTAGATTTTCATTTCGCCTTTTTTGCCTATTTTAGCTTCTGAAGCCTATTTTTGCTAATTTGCCTCCTTATGCCTTTTCTACCTTTTTCGACATTTTCCTCGCACCGAACTATTAAACTGAAAACATACCAGCAGGCCTGAACCTATACATACCTGCAGGCTTGAGCATACCTGTATGGCATGGTTGTGTATTGACTTTCTGTGTTTGCTCATGAGAAATCTCATCCTGACTATGGTTTCAGATTTCCTTTGAGGCCAAAGCTGTCTGTACACGATATACCCTTCTCTGCTCCTTCTTGTCCTCTCTTCCCTTCTTGCAATTACACAAGTGCAAAGGATGAAATCATTTTAATTCCATTTTCACTGATACCATTTCAAGGTTCAAAAGGAAATCTTCAATAGCATTTTGTTGAGACAACGTAGCAAGTAAAATAAATTCGTAGTCGTCATACCGGATAGTCAAATCTAAAGACCGGATTCCTATGCATCTTTTCGTTGCTAACTTGAAATTGGATGAATCCTTGACAGAAATTTGAATTGTGAAAAGGATGCCTACAAATTGTTTATTGCATAAAATATAATTTTTATATCATCTTGTTTTAATTTATCATTTTTAAAGGTTTCATTTAAGAAAAAAGTTTTTATGCCATAACCCAGCAGTGCATTTGGGTGATCTGTGATACACAAGTACCGTTCAGGGAGTGTCAATTCTGCATTTCGTTACCCATCACAATACCTATTGTCTAATCAAAATATTTGCGTTATTGCAGCAGGAATAGGTCTGCAGCCCTTGGTTGTGACCTCACAATGTTCTGGCTTTCTCTTCCAAATTGGATCATAAATCAGTTTTGTCAGTCTTCGCTGAACTTACCAACAGGAGACAGCATGCGCAAGTCACATATGACATACATTTTGGCGTGAAGCTTAGCCACAAGCTGCATTGCATTTTAAATTCATCGAATTTCTTGGAACAGACCCTTGCCCTGGGAAGTTCAAGAGAGAATGTATTCAATTTTTGACAGCTTTTAGCAGTGGTCATGTGTGTCAGAATGAGGCTCGGCACACAGACAAGTGTAAATTAAATGTAGAACAAAGTTTTTCCTGTATGAAACGTATATTAGTGGATAGAAGATATAATAGAAAATAATTTTGAAATATACATAATTGGAAATTATAATGAAAACAATTAAGAACATTCATTTGGTAACTTAATTCTTTTTGATTTCTGATCGTATACTTGCATATTTCAATTTTTATATTATGTTTTTGCGTTTTAGGCTAATATAATTTTGTGTTCGAATAATATTTAAAATGTCAAATATAGTTTGTTTAAACAATATGTACAAACTTAATTATAATAACATTAAAATTATACAATTTCATTCACCTTAAATATCTCATTCAAAATATAAAAATAAGTTGATTAACTGGAGTTTTTAGGCTACATAACACCATTTTGAAAAGTCTTGACCTTTTTATTGCATGTTTTCATACATTTTAGGGAGTTTTACTGGATGAAAATCTGGTCTTTAGTCATTTGCAATCATGATTACAAGGAAATGGTAGTTTCCTTCCTTGTAAGTGCTAATGTAAATTTTAGTGTTAGAACGTAAATAAAAATCAATTTAATTATTAGTTTTCTTACAATAATTACTTTTAAATGGTGATTTTTCAAAGTTTCCTCTGTTTTACTCCTCTACCCTATCCAGAATAAAACCGTTTTTTGCATGCCTATTTTAGTTAAAATAAATGCCTGAATTTCTGGGCTCTATTTATAAGGAACTTACAGCATCAGTACTAGTTTCTCTAACATTCCTGTTTATTATGGGAAAGGATTATTATGAATAGTTATATATACTAAATCTGCAGTCCCTTCACATTAGAACAATAAGCAAATTTTTAGTAATTGAGCTTGCACTATTTTTACTGTCTGTTAATTTTCTTTTTCCAGTGAATTATTTATTTTGTAACTTCTAACATATAATAAATCTATTTGTTTAATTTTTTAATGTTCAGTAATACTATAGAAGGAATCAAACCCAAAGTAGTTGTTCTTTGATATTGTGTCTTAAATGAATATCCTAATCTGCAGGCGAACGACCATTCCGATGTCCAGTTGAAGGCTGTGGTCGATCATTTACCACTTCAAACATTCGGAAAGTTCATGTTCGAACACACACTGGTGAGAAACCATACAGATGCCCACAGGAAGGATGTGATCGAGCGTTTGCTTCTGCTACTAACTACAAAAATCATCTAAGAATACATTCTGGAGAGAAACCATATGTTTGTAGTGTGGAGGTTCGTTTTGCCTAAAATAAATAAATAAATTTCCCCAAACTTTCAAAACCAAACTATTTCTTTCCCTCTGAAAAGAAAATGCCGAAATGTAATTAGAAGACTTATTTAATAATGATTTCAACTCATTTAGTGGACCTGAAATTTCCAAATTATCTTCTCTACTCATACCCTGCCTTCAGTCTTCATCTTATTCTTCCAAGATTGAAAGATTTTTCACATTTTAAGTTGTGTTGAATTCAGCATTGTACTGCAAAGTTTTGGTTTTATTTTCAGGGATGTGGAAAGCGCTTTACTGAATACTCATCTCTTTATAAGCATCACATGGTCCACACTCAGCAAAAACCTTATTATTGCAGTGTATGTGCTCGACATTACCGACAGGCTTCAACCCTAACGATGCACAAAAGAACTGCTCATGGTATTGTTGAAACAGAAGATGGTACTGAGATTGTTTTAGGAAAAACTGTTTTTGCATTGGCTAAGACTTCATCAGAAGCCAAGAAACTGAAAGCTTTGAATGCTAATGTAAGTCTCAATGTTGTTTTGTGTAGACAGTGTGTGTGTATGTGTATGTGTTTTGTATTTTTTTAACTCTTTAGGGGTCTGGTGAGATTTGTTCGACCCCAGGATACAAATTTTTGTTTTGTTTGAGAGATGACATTTCTTGGGACTTCCTGTTTTATGAACTTGACTAGGTATGAAAATTAATAGCTGCATCAAGTGACATTTCTAAAATATACTAAAGAAACAAAAAAATAAGATTACATATACTGTGAGAGATGGAGCTTGACAATTGTCAGTTGGGCAGCATTTCTATATTTCCATGATGACAGCCTCTCAGGTTTGAGTTATCTTTGCTCTCAGTGACCCGTGTTAGTGATAGAATGTAATCATCACCATGCATGAGTCACCACACTCAGTGTCTTGGATTTGAAATAAAGAAGTGCTTGATATACTGTAAACAATTATTAAGATTTCTGATAAGGTATTGTATTGAACATGCAGAAATGCAAGTACTTGTGTATTAAACAACACTCCATCTTGTACTCTCTAATTGCCAGAACTAACAAAAAGTATAATTTAGTAAGTAAATCAACAATATTGAACAGCAGAGAGGCAGACTGCTAAAACAGAGAAACAAACAAAGATTGGAAGCAGTCAATATGAGATATTTAAAAGCACTAGTAAATGCGATTAAAGAGAGAAAATTGAAACCTTGAGATACTCAAAATACTAAAATGAGAGAACATAGTAGACCAGAAGCGTACCAAAAAAAAGTGGCTCAACCATATTAAGAGAGTGGAGAAAGACAGATACTGTTGTAAAGACCTTAGAGAGGAGAGAATGTAGAAACCCTACACTAAGAGAGCCAGGTTATGAACACTAGTGTCTATGAAAATTCTGACTAGAAAGGAACAAGTCATACGAAGCTAAATTTTAACTGTTAGTGATGATTAAAAAGATAATTTAAATCAGGAATTGACACAAATCCCACAGGCCCACTGATGTTACTTAGAGACATTGAACTAATAACCGTCAATATTATCAAGAATTATGTAGGTTGTAAGTTTGCTCCATGATCTGAGAATCTCCATGTTAGCTGTATATTTCATTGCGCTTTTTTCAATGTACTAGATTCTGCAAAATGTGGTAGGTCTGATCTCATTATACTGTCTAGCCACAAACTAAGTTGCAGTAGCAAGCTAACTATACAGCTAATGAACAAAGTATTGGACTGTCTAGAAAAAATGAAAATAATTCACAAAATAAAAAGCTTAATACCGATCGAGCAAACACAAAATTCTGATGATATAAGTAATTGAAATTCAAAATCATAATATTTAAAGTATCATCTGCAACATCTCAATCCAATCAACCAATAATATTTACTATTAAGATAAGTAGAAAATAGTGCTAATTCAGGGCAAATCATTATTTTTTGTGTATTTATTATTACTATTATTATTATTGTTATTAAACATTTGTTTGGTATGTACATATGTATTTCATTATTATTATTATTATTATTATTATTATTATTATTATTATTATTATCATTATTATTACTATTATTTACATTTTTTGTCTTCTTCATTTCTTAACTTGCTGTATGATCAGATTCTAGGATTTAAAGAGAACAATACTCTTGTGGCACTGCAGTCAGATAGTTCTGGTGGCCTTGGACCACAGAGTCAGTTCATCGTGATGGCTGATCCTTCTCAGCTTGCAGCTTTGGAGGTGAGTTTCTAAGTAAATGCATCAATATCATCATCATCATTTATTTATTAATGGTGGCAGCAGCAAACCTATATATACCTTGTCCTTGTCCTTTCTTTTACTAGTTTCATTGTATGTCCTCTAAGTCTGGAATCTGTGGCTTTAGTATAATTCAGGAATGTTATAATATCCATTCAAGATTTTAAAACTTTCTATTATATCACTCCTATTTCTTCCCTGTTCTAATGTCGGAAGTGATATGTCTCTGAATCTTTCTTCATAATCGAATTGATGTAGTTCTCTAGGGCTCTCGGTAATCTACCTTTGTACTTTTTATCTTTTTAATAATAAGGGAACCAATCCACGTTAGCATACTCGAGTTAAGGTCTAATATACATCGTGTACATTAGTTTTACTATAGATGGAAGGAATGTAGAGAATGCCTTTCTGATCAGGTATAATAGCTTATTGGCTCTTTTGGTAACAACAGCAACTTAGCTATCCCTTTTCAAATTTCGAGTGAAAAGAACACAGAGATCATTTTGTTCTATTGTCGAATTGAGGATGTGACTGTCAATGCTATAATTAAGATTTGGTTTATTTTTTCCTAGATGGTGGACCGTACATTTATTGGAGTTTAGTCACTAACTAAGATTTCAACCATCTCACTACTTTGTTGAAGTCATTTTGTAACATGTGATAGTTTTTTAGTGGATTTGAGAAAAGTTTGGTGTCGTCCACATAGCAGTTCCAACTTGAAGACAGATTATCACCTAGGTCACAAGCGTATAGAATGAAAAGTACTAGGCTTGGAGCTTAACCATGGGGGACACCTCTTGTAATGACTCGCGGTATTGACAGTGTGTTTCCAATTGCCACCTGAAATGTTCTGCGCGATAAATATTCCTGAATGTACTTCCATAGTTTACCTTGTATACTTAAAGATGAGAGTTTGTGAATGAGACATGGTACTTTATTGAAAGCTTTAGCATAATCAATGAGACTACCATGAGATGTGAAGAGAGATTCAATTACGTTTGGTATTCTTTTACTGAAAGTAAAAAATTTATTTGAAGAATTTCATTCTTTCTTTGTCCAGTGTCTTGTCCTAATTTGAGATTGTGCTTCATAATGACATGGATTTTGTTCAGAATTAGAACCAGATTTCCTGGCATGAGAAGAAATAATGTCTGTAATGAACCCTTTACTGCTGATTGTTCTTACTTACACAGCTTCAGTTAGCACAACTTTTCCCCCAATCACTTATTGTGCATCCTTCTGAATCCTTCTGAATTACTATCGCTGTCATCTTTATTGCGGTCTTGGGGGGGGGGGGCAAAAGTGCAAATTCTAGTTCCTGACATCCATCAATGAGTACTCTTAAATTTTCACGTTCTTCATTGGAGTTTATAATGTTAAAAACTCCCTCTGAATGATTAATCATATGATGGGATATAATGGGTTAATATGTGCACCATGGCCACTGTTTTACTGAAGACAAATATTTGAACCAATAGACCCAACTCATTTGCCTAAAGCCTTGAAAATGTAGCTGTGGCTTTGTGAACAAGTCTGTAATGAGCATGCACACAATATATTTAACTTATGATTGTCTTTTGGTTTGTTGTCCATTTTAGAGATGTAACAAAATCATGACTTATTTGGAGATTAAAAAATGGGGTTATGACTGATTTGAAATGTACATAATTTTACCAACTGCCTGGTGGATGTACACTTGTGACTTTGCTAGGGAGCTCAAATGAAAATGAAGGAATAAGCATATGAAACAAAGACATTAAATTTGAACTTATGGCAATTTGCTAAGCTGTATATCAACACACCTCCAAGAGGTTTTTGAATGTATACTATTGTCCAAAATAAGATGGTCATCAATTCTTTCTACTCTGATATAAGTTGTGGTAATTAGCAAAAGCAAATATGTATCACAATCAGCAATCATATTCAGGCATTAGGATTAGTAGAATGGCTTATCACGTGAAACATGTGTATTGTTCAGGTTAGCTGAAATGTTGATGTCTTTTGCTCCATAATTGATGGTTTTCTGTTAGTATTGTGAATTGATAATTTCCAAGTTTTTTTTCTGAGTTGGTGGTTGTGAGAGAGTTACAGAAAATAAATTGAATAGAATAAAAGGGCTTTTATTAACAGATATAATTCATTTTGTGCCTCTCAGCAATTAGGTGTTACCACATCCGATGCTACAATTGCTATTGAAGAAAAGGATGTGACTGAATTGGAAGAAGATTCATCCTAAGTATTGCAGCATCTAGTAAGTAAATGTTTTAATTAACCTTAATGTAGAATTATAAATTTGTTTGAGGTTTTTGAAAGTTTGCAATAAACTTTTTGTAAATTAATTTTATTACACATAATTATTAGCCAACACAGATGGCCGAGGTGGCTAGAGCATGTGCTAGCTGAGCTCCTCGGTCTGAAAGGTTGTGGGTTTGTGTCCCATTGTACGCATGGTTGCTTGTCCCTTGCCTTTCATGTATGTGTGTTGTTGCAGGAGGCCTTCTGAGTCTAATGACTACAGACCAAGGACCTTGCATAGTGTTAAAGGTTAATATGTGTCCTCATGAGGGACATAGTGGGTACTGAGGACAGATAGTCAAAATCGAAATCCCCTGATACTGAAAATAGCCCAGGAAGGAAATAAATAAATAAATTTAGAAACAAAGGAATTTGAGAGGATCTTTATTCATGGTTTGGTTCTGAACATGATAGTATGATGAAGATGATAATTATTTTTTTCAGAGTAAAATGCAATGCCTGTGCCATACACAAAGTTTTATTTTTATATCATTTTTATTTTATTTTTTTGTCTGGTTTCGAAACATGTGCACACTATCATAGAGAATGCCTCACTGTTTAATGGCCATATTGAACGATACATTTCAAAGTGTATGAGCGATGTGTTGGTATTATTGCTAGGAGCAAGGATGGGCTTTTGCTCAGGCAAACTAGGCAGCTACCTGGGGTCCCCATCTCAGAGAGGGACCCAGATGATAGTACAGTAGATTTGGGCTTGAGCGATCACCAATGGTTCCAGCAAAAAATGGTTGATAATAGAGATGGCTGCATAATCAATGTTGTGAGGTTACTAGGATCATAAATCAAAACTAATTATGCTACTTGCTATGAAATGAAGTACATTCTCTTTATTTTGAATTACCATAAATAACAAAATTCTATTTAAAGAGGGTATTGAGGGTCATTTGCCTCCTTTCAGGTAAATCAATATACCCCCTTCACTTGTCACTATTTTTCTTAGTCAATAAAGTCTCTTTCCATTCTTGCTGAATCAAATGGGCAAACTTGACTTGAAAATGCAATTTATATGCTGTGGAAACTTTACAGCTGAGTTGTCTGACAAAGGAGTTAGGTAATGACCTGTAGTACTGATTCATTCACAGTGTGCTCTTTTGAGTTCTTCACAGATTTTTATGGAAGGGAAGTATGAGTTAGCAAACCATGAAATGGAGGAAACAAACAGGTTTTTGCTTCATTAAGATATATTTATTAAAATCATCTGTCATTACCTGAAACAAAGTAATCTCCCTGCGAAATCAGAACCTCTGCCATTATTCAAATTATTTATTTATAGGGTAATCACATACATAAAATATTAATATAGGAAAAAATAAAACTAAGATTCATAGTAAAATTAGTTTCACAATAATAAAGTAATAGATTAATAAAAATTACAGTTAACAATAAACAATTCAATGTAAAGAGTAGTAAAGGAGTAAAATTAATTCTAGAGACTTCTTAAATTTCACAATGGCACTATAAAAGAAGTCAATATCATTATGTAATTGATTGGCCTCACAAGAAATTTTGTTGAATACATCTTTACACATATAGTTTGTTCTACAGTTAGATATTAAAAAATGTTACTGAAATCTGTGTTTACACTGTGGTGCATAAAGTTGCACCTTACAAAAAATATTTGGACAATTCATGTACACAGATATATTGGAGTGTAGAAAGACAAGAACTAGGTACAGTTTTCTAGCATATAGAGTAGGGATGTTGATTCATGTGCAGATATTCTGGTAGTTGTGATCTAAGACTTGACAAAGGATTGTTGTCGATAAATGACAAATGTCTTAGAAATGTGTTCTGGATCCTTTTGATCGTTGAGGATGAAGTCTCAGTACAGGGTTACCAGACTACCAGTGCATTTTCCAAAATAGACCTTACAAGTGAAAACATAGTAATTTGAAACTCCAGATAACATGAAAATCTTTTGTGTTCCACATCAGGAAACTGAACATTTTCTTGGCTTTGTTACAAATCAGTTCAACCTGCAAATTGAAATCCAAACAAGCATCAAATGTCTCACCAAGATCCACAATGTTATCCATAGATTTCAGAGTATGGCTTTCAATTGTGTATAAATTGAGAAAGACCTTTTTTCTGGTGAAGCTTACAACATAGCATTTGTCTATATTCAGCAATATACCATTCTCCAAACACCAATCATAAAGCAGTGTTGCAAAGTCCAATTGCAGATTAAGGGCACCGGTTTCACTTAAATTTCAGTAAACAATTTAGCATCGTCAGCAAATAGCAAGCCTTCACTGTGTTTGGTAACGTGAAGTAGACGATTGATAAAGGTGTTAAATATTAAAGTGATGAGATGGGAGTCTTGCAGAACTCCTGAAGGAATATTGTAATATACCAAGTTACTACTATTAAAGGAGACAAGCTGTATTCTCTCGTTTAGATAGCTCTGAAAGCATGCCAGAAGTAGATCTCTCAGCCTCAGCATAAAGAGTTTAGATACTAGGATGTTATGGTCTACCCAATCAAAGGCTTTTGTAAAGTCTATATACCATGTTCACTTGTCCTCCTTGATCCAGTACCTCAGCTATAAAGTGACTTATAATGGCAAGATTGGTTACTGTTGATTTTAATGATCTAAAGCCATGTTAACTGTCCTAAAGATTTGGATATATTACAGGAGCAATGTGTGTCACCACCAGTTTCTCAAAAAGCTTCCAGATGGAATTCAAAATAGAAAAAGATCTATAATTGGAAACATAAGCTTTGTCCTTTTCTTCTGGATTGGTATCACTTTGCTTAGTTTCTATGCATCCAGATGAAATTCAAAATAGAAAGATCCAGAAAATTCTAATTTTTGAAAATTGCAACTACAATTATGAAGATAAACATTTTTTCTTAATGAAATGTGTTCATCAAAAACAGATCTTCAAATAAGGTTTTGTTGAATTTCTTGACAATAAAAAGTAAGTTTTGAGGAATTTGGCGTCAAACATAGTTGCTCGCTCCAAATTTCCTGCACTTCCTAATCGAAGTGATTTCAGGCAGTTGGGTGCTGCGTAAGATAGAATTTGTCTATGTTCGTTTCTTACATTCAAGCTTTTGTAACATGTTTACAAATTAATCTTTTAGAAATTATTTAAAATCTATTAAAAATATATGAAAAAAAATTGCTAGCATTCAGGAAATATCAGATTGGAATGCAACAATGGCATTCTGCGCCGCAAGGCAGCTGTTGAATTTCTGTGAATTACATCTCATTGTTGTAACATGATTTAGCAGTATGGAAAGCAGTTGTAATTGTCAAATTTGTGTTGATATTTGAATGAAAATACCTATTTAGTTTGTGCATCAAATATGTTCTATGATTTGTAATGAGTTTTACAAAAATGATGACTGAGATGTATTGATTCAGAGAGAATTTGTGGTATAAATAGTATTACATGGCCATGACTAAGGGAGAAAATGTACATGCTGTTTTAGCACCACTAGTTAAATATTGTTTGCCAAAGTGTAGGAATCTTCGCAAACCTACAGCAACCTAAAGTCAACAGATCAGCTGGCTTACATTACTGATGCAAGCCAGCTGCACTATGATTGCAGATAAACTCTGTTTTGGCCCTTTGGGTTCTAAGTTGTTGAAATCACGTCAAGCTTTGGCAGTGAGCTTGATTGTGTTTCAGGTGTGATTGAAATGTGAATTTGGAAAGTCAAAGTTTGTGTTTTGGAAGTAAATTTCCAGATAATTAGTGAGACACCTCTTAGTGATAGTTCTAATTCCCTGTTCATTATACTTCCTGTAAATCACCAATGAATGTTTCTATAGTGAATGTTGTGAGGCTGGTGAAGAATGGCACCCCATGGCGTCTCACTATCATTAAATAGCAAGCATGAATATGCATACTCTGTGTATGTAACTCAAAATATATTAGTCTTTACTAAAGTTTGCTCATTGTATATCAGTTGAGTGACAGCCCTCTGTAAATTTTCTGGGGAAGGGTAATGTGGTTTTCCAGAAAATGCAACAAACCAGAGCTTCACAGAAATTAAATGTTGGTATTCAAAATGGAGCTACACCAAGTATTATGACAGTACAAATGAATTTGGAGTTTGCAGAATTTGGAGTTCCAGGAATTTGTGTCAACTGTTTGAGTAATAGTGATTATCTATGTTAATAATTATATGATGTTAATATCTCTTAATATTTTTGATTTGCTCACATCACAAGTGTCACAGTGGATGTGTTTTATTTACTCTGTGCAGAAATTTTAAGTAGGCTGGGATTAAAGTGCCACTTTAATTCTGCTGGAAATAAAAGTGAAACAGAGCAAAGGGAACCTCTGGGGAACCTGGTGATTAAAGTTACACTTTAAACATGTGTAAATGAAAAACGTATTTAAAGTTATTGTACTGTTATTTATGATTATTGTGTGCTTATCATAAATTGTTTATTTGGCTACAATGCTTTTTTGTTCCAGATGCTAGAAACTGAAAAATGTTTGTCTGCTAATTGTTGGCTGCCAGATGTACAAATTATAAATGGATGTTATTTGTTGTCCACACAACCTATTCAAGAAAATGAAGTTGGAAAGCTGAAGCTAAATGTATATGTCGCTCTGAAATATTTAAAATGCGTTCTTACTACATTGAGAATTGCTAAGATACAAATTGTTGAGTTCCTGTGATTTATGGAATTGTCTTGCTCTTATAATTGTGTCTGAATGCTTGACTGATGGGTGGTAATGTGTTGTAGAATCTACAGTTACACTTAATGAATTCACAGAAAGTATATAATGTTGATGTGTATTTTCTGTGTGTCTTTGAAAGTAATTTATATAATTTTTGTTGCATTATCTACTGTATTATGTGAAGCTGGACATTTACCTTAAAATATTTTTATGGTAGGAACTTACATTTTTAGTAGGTTCTTATAATAATAAGACACTATAAATTGAATTGTTTGTTCTTTAGATACTGAAGATTGTTTCAATTCTACAGTTATGACTGATATTTTGTGATTGCAGATAAAAGTTAACAATTATTTTAATTTGTTTCTTGATATGAATGAAAAAAAGAAAACAAATGAGAACCTTCATCTAATAGTTAAAATAAAATATTGTTTAAAAACAGTTCATGTTTCTGTATTGGGACTGTGATTTTATTTCTTTTGAAATATCTGTAAAGGTAATATTTTGAGTATTATGTTGAGTATGTTATGGTCAAAATTCATTGATGTCAACATCACTATTAATTGGTGAAAATATGTACATTAAAAAAAATTATATTTTCAGAATTTTTGTACAATGATGTACTGATGAAATGTTTGAAAGTGATTATAATAAATTTATTAAAGATTATATGCTTTGTATACATGTAATCATCATCATCATCACCCTGAATTTCAGTCATTTATTCTACCCAAAACAGGCAGGCAAAAAGGCATACCGAAAAATGGAATGAAGGCAGCACATCTGTCCGTCTGTGAACAATGCTAGCGGTTGAACTATTCAGACGATTTTCTTTAGAGAACCGATATTTCCCATTTGATCTGGCTGATGTCACAGCCCCTTCAATTTGAAACAGATATTTTCATTTTGGAGAGTACTTTTTATAAAGCCCTTGGAACATTTTCTAAAAATGGCGCCATTGTTTTTTATTAAATTTTGTTCTTTGGTTGGGTGAAGGACGTTTGAGAGAATGGTACATTGTCATGTTTGTTAAAAACCCTGATTTTTCGAAAATTGCAAAAAATTTTCGGCGTCTTCCTACAACTAAAATTTTGAAGATATATATTTTTTTTCTTAACGAGATGTGTTCCTTCCGAAACAGTTGTTCAAAAGAGGGCAGGTTCAATATTTCGGAAATAGTGTTTTTGTGTAATTTAATACAGGTGCTTTTAAAAACATCTCAGACAACTTTCTCAGAAACGGCTTCAAATTTTGTATTTCAGTTTTATCCTCCTATGTAGCAAAGAACTGTAAAAAGAATGGTGATAATCACACAGCACACTGCATGTTCAAATATTGCAATCAAGTTCGGAATTGTAAATTCGAATTTTGCGCGCGTCGTTTCAGGCGTTGCCAGTTCGGAAAATAGCAAAACGGGATTCAAAATTTTTGAATTCATCCCATTGTGGACGGTCACGATGATTGTAAGATGTAGATACTATTTTTATGAAAGAATATAGATTGAAGTAAGATAATAAATTTTAACTTAGAACTAACACACTTCTATATTTTAAGAAATTTTAATAGCTGATTACGGTATTAGATATTGAAAGCTTGTTTCAAACGTAATCAAGATAGGCTTGTGTGAAATTATTTCTGCTTTTCTGTATTATTATCTGTAAATACTGTAACATTTAAATTTATTCATGTTTCATTTATAAACGTAAGAAACTTCCTGACAATAGAAATAAATACAAATAAGCAACAGAGGCGATTCGTTTGAATTAGACTTTCAAGTTATTACTGAGTTTTTAATATGGAAGAAATTAAAATATTGTAATATTACGCAACTTTTCAAAAATGCGAGAAAGTATGTGCTGTTGAGCACCTCTGGTTTTACTTTAAGGTTGGCTCGCCGAGCGCACAAGTCGCGTTCGTGCGCGCGTACACGTAAGCTCTGATCAATCGCATCCTAGCGAAGTTGTTTAATTGGATCGCAGGGCACGCGGAGTTTCTGCCGTTGCTGACAGAACTATTTCATCAAAATAAGATTCTGAGAATTGTCGCAACCTGCTACACTTGATCAAGGACTGTTTGACGACGAGCGCACATATAAAACCTGCTGAACCTTACAAATGAAGCGAAATGGGCCGCAAAAGAAAGAATACCAATATTGAGCAGTGACAGCTGGTTATCACGAGGAAAATCATGCTGGAAAATTTGCAAAATTCGATTAATGAAGAAAGCACTGAGTGACATCTCACGGTACTTCAATGAAGAGACGACTGAACGGCAAACTGGAGAAGGACTCCCGAATACTTTTTCTGTTCTAGAAGATAATCTCATTGCGAGAATAATAAACAGGGATCATCGTATTACTGCACCAAATATTCCTGCAGAGTTCGAAATGCTCATTGGCTAGAAAGTAAATTCAGAAACTGTGTGAAGGTTACTGAGTAGTATATTACCAATTAATGTAGCGGCGTTGCCGAAAGAAAGCCATTTATAAGAAAAGAGAGCCGAAGGAAAAGGCAGGGGTTTGCTAAATAACAAACAGAAGAAGATGAATTGGTGGAATAGAGTTATCTTCGCCAACAATCGAAAATGAACATCTGTGGTTCCGATGGAAGAATTCGGGTGTGGAGATCAAATGAAGAGCTGAAAGGTGAAAACATGTAAGCAACCGCAAAGCGCGGAGGGAGAAATATAATCGTGTGGGGCTACATGTCAGCTATTGGTGGCAGTGAACTTGTGCTCAAAGAGAAAACGATGAACAGGTTCAACTCTCTTGACATTTGTAAACAAAATTTAAAACGAAGTGCTGAAAATCTTGTTATTCTTGATAGATTTTATTTTTATCAAGATAATGATCCCTAGTGCAAGTGGCAGGTTGTTCAACTTTGGCTTCTGTACAGCTATCCAAAGATACTTCATCCAGCCCCTCAGTCACTAGAGCTTACTGGTATAGAACATTTTTGGGAAACATTGGAAAAAGAACATTGGATAAGAAAATAACAAATTTATTCCAAACAAGAATTAAAGCAAATAATGTGCAACAAGAATGAAGTAAAACTCATCCTTCTTATACCCTAAACTTGTTACAAAGTATACCAAATAAACTGAAGAAGTACTGCTGTAAACGGGGATGGCTACAAGATATTGTACTTTCTTACTGTTATTTTTTACGTGTTTTTCTCTTTGACCAACATTTACTGTGCATATTTGTTCATATTTCCATTCAAGTGTCGGAGTAGTTTTGTTAGTTAACTTTTCAGCATAAAAAATTCAAATGAAAAAATATCAGTTGATTATTTTGATTTTAAAGAAACATCTGTAAATCTCTTGTACCCGCCTATGAAAGGGATAACATACTTTATTATATTTATTTTCTTGTCCATTTTTCTATTCCTAATCCATGATTATTCTGCTAAATTTCCCGTGTCCGAATAGTTTGGGAGTCACTGTAGATAGTGGGATCAAACTAATGCAAATCAGCAGAGGGGATAGGAATCTTGAAAAATCCCCGAGTTAATCTGAACATATCTTGTTTCTACTACTGTCTTTCCGCTGTGTTTTAGTAAGCTGGTGATCCACAGCTAGTTTCCCAAGAAGCGTGTTGTGTTCGCTTCTCCGCTTACTGGAGCAGCTCAAATCGCAAATTGAAGCCAGCGATGTAGAAGTCCCTGAAACTGTCACCATTCACGGAGGCTCCAACAACTTACAGAGATGTCGCTCGTTTTACCAAATCTTGGGGACATTTATGAACTTGGTGTAGCAGCAAAAATGCGTTTTCCATCCGCCCGCATAGGGCTAAGTGGCGTCATTCGCTGCCGGGATGTTTGGACCCTTAAAGTCGCCAGGGTAAATCTCCGGTGACGGCGGCTTCAGGGGGCCGTGTGTGACTGTGGAGACGACGGCGGCGGCGGTTGCGGCGATGACGGCGAATGCCGCGGCGGAGTGGGCGTTAGCAAAAGGTCCGGTTACAGGGTGGTCGGTTATGAGCTACGGTCATGGCAGCGACGACTGCGGGACGACGGTGGCGACGGAGGTGATGACGGGGTCGTGGGGGCGTCAACGACGATGCGGAACAACCCGTGGGTGGTGACGGCGGCAGAGGGGGACATAGGCTGTGGCTGTTATGTATGATTCCCTCCTACGCATGGGAGCACTGACGCACAGACGATGGTGACGGCGGCTGAGGCAACGGCGGCGGCTTCCAGGGACGACACTTCTCGAGAACACATTCGGATGAGGAAAGGATTTCTTAGGTTGTTGCAAGTGAGCTGTCATTGTATAATCAATAAAGAAATAGAGTTTTGGAATCTAGTTGATGTCTGCAAACCCGACATAGTGATTGGGACTAAGTGGTGACTAATTGAGGAAATTGGATCTTCTGAAATTTTTCATTCTCATTATAGAAGATCTTTAGGGGGCAATGGTAGAGGTGGTGGAGTCTATTTGCGTCAAAGCAGACATGGATATTGGATTATATTGGGTCAGTACAGAGTTTGAAATGATGAGAATAGAAATTACTACTTCAGGAACCATATTAGAAATTATTGCATGCTATTGGCCTCCGAGCGACGGATACATTTCAGATAAAGTTATTCAGAGAATGTGAAACGAGAATGGCCATTCTATTGTTATTGGGTGCGACTTAAATATTTCTAGCGCAAACTGGGAAGGAGCCGTGAGCGAGGGGAGAGTCCAAACTCTTGTGAACAGTCCAATTTGGGACAGCAGATTAATTCAGGTAGTTCGGAGCGTGACGCGGCAGGATGAGATTTTGGATGTCTACTTAATTAGGCCGAAATTTTGTGAAGTTGTTGAGAGGATTAGCGATTACAAAGCGGTTCTTCTGGACTTAGACGAAAATATTACAAGGAAAGGCATTACGATAGGAACGAAAGTACGGCAATTCGAGAGAGTAAATAAAGACGGATTTTCCTTTTTAGGGAACAATACAACCGCTTGCTGATAACAGGGAGTTATGGGAGAATTATGGGGCTCATTTAACGATATTATATTCGAAGCTTTGCAAAAGTTTGTTCCGTGCAAAAATTTTAAAAAAAATCTGGATCCAGAGAACTACAATATAAAAATTAGATTGAAGATGATAGCAAGAAAGGCATTTAAGAACAGAAAACGCAGTAGCGAACATATGAATATTTTTCGAAATCGTTCAAAAGAATTGGAGCGGGAAAAGAAAATTGCTCATGAGGCATATTTAAAGAATATTCTACATGGGAAAGGAAATAACTGGGCAGATTTTATAAATATATTCGTAGAAGGAAGGGAAATAAAGAAGATATTTCAGTTGTTTGTGAAAATGGTAACACGATCATTACTGACGATCAGGCAAAAGCAAATACGTTTAATGTGTTTTTCAGTTCGGATTTCAAATGCAATACAAACCATCTACTAATTCAAGGATCTTCGGTTGCAGATCAATTTGATATTGAAGTTAACTTTCTACGGAATAAAGTAAAATCTATGAAAAACTGGGAAGTCATGGGATCCAGACGACATTTCTATGGATATAATTAAACTATGAGGAGAGGCAATTTTATCTTACATAATTAGAAAATTCCACATGTCCATGAACCATTCCAAACTACCTAAAGATTGAAAATTATCTTTTGTCGTACCAATTGTTAAAAGTGGTGACAAAACTATGTTATGTAATTATAGGACGGTAAGTCTTACGTCAGTGGTCTGCGAACTTGTGGAGCACCTTGCTGCGAGTTACTTTAAACAAGAATGAGAAATCAAAAAATGGCTCTATGACGACATTTTGCTCATTATCTGTAAGTGAAGTTTCGCAGGAAGAAAGTTCGAGTTCACGGATCACACTTAACCTTCGGGTTATTTCCTCTTATGCGTTACTGTGATCCACAGTGGCCTCGGGACAACCCCTAGCAAGGAGTCCCACCGATCGCCAGTCGGCTTCACTAAACCCTACGGGATTTTCACTGACTGCTGAAGGCAGCCTCCTTCGCTGGCTAATGCAAGGTTAGGGCCTCCACTCTAATCAGTGGCCTGGTGTGCCAATCCAGTTTCTCTCCTGTTTCCTCCACGAGCCGATAACAGGAAGTCCAAAGGTTTATGATCCTGCCCACTCTACATATTTCCCGCTGTGAATGCCGCCGCTCATAACATGGAGACAGACGCTGCAGCCACCCGCTGCGGATCAGATGCTGCGGTTTTGTTCGAGGTGTCTGTTCCGCCATCCTCAGCCCTCCCTTCTTCGAAGATGTCGTTGAGGTTCTTCTCTGGAGTACTTCATCTGACCCCTCACCTTCAACCTATTCAGCAAGGGCGGCCCTACCAGTAGATAGGTTACCGCCGACATAGCTCTGAGGCTCATGGGGGCACTCAAGCTCCACCAACTACAAGGTCGTGTACTCCCTAGGAGTAGTTTTTGTTGTTGTTGATGTTGTTGTTGTTATTATTATTATTATTATTATTATTATTAT